TACATATAATTGCAGGAATATCTATAACATTTCTCGTGGTATTTTTATAGTTCTATTTTTAAACTTGAGATTTTTAAACTTGAGAATTAAGAAGAGTTAAAAGTCAAAAACACATACATATATATCTATAAGTTTTTATTCCGCGTATTAATATCCAATTTTGTCAAATTTATATGATTATTCAGTGTAGAATTTATATCGCGAACTCTTTCTATCATCTCCGTAAAATCACAGGGTAATATTAAAATTTCACAATTTCTGCTATCATTGCGTAGTGTTGTTTTACAATCGTCATGATCGAGGAGAAAGGAGTGAGAAGCTGCGAGCCAAGATAGGATATTCTCGAGGAATGCGTAAACAGGCTGATCCTTGCGCGACGGAAAATTACGTGAGAAAAGAAAAACTGAAAGACGCATTTTAGTTGTCGGGAATTGCGTAACGCCACTGATGAGATTGGTGCGCGATGCGTCACGCCAAATCATGTTATGTTCAATGAACTCGGCTTTAACATTTCTCGCGCGGCATCACATTATCGCACGCGGGTTGATCATCAGATCAGTCATCGATGAAGGTCTTCATCGATTGCTAAATCCGTTTGCGCAACGTAATTCCGTTATTTATTCATAACAGATTATAATACACGCATGCCCGGCATTGCAAAATCGGATCGGTGACGTAAGGGAATTATCGCCCGCGACGATGAAATCGCGATGTTTGTTACGCGAGACCACGTGTGATCGTCTGATTGTGACGAGGAAAAGGGGAGTATTATTTGGTATTTGTCAAATACGGATCGAACAATCGAACATCGGCCATCTCGCTATTGGGTCAACGACCGTCCGGTGAAATCCGCTGACGTTGACGAGGTGTGTAATTCATACTTCCTTGACGCATGTCGTGTCATTACCGATTCGAACGCCGATTATACGGCGGTTGCGAGTTAATTGATCGGTGATATCGACGAAAAAGGAAATCATGGACTTCCACGTGATCGAAATGTGATTTTTGCCCTTCCTCCCGGCGCGAACGAAGCCGACGTCGGGAAAGGAGAAAAGCGTCGGATGGAAGAAGCATTACGACGGATCGGATGATTCAAAACTGGCTTACAGGCGCTTACGTAAATTCGAAACCCTTCAAAAACATTCTTATTACACCACGACCTGACCAAATCTTTTTGCGAGGTTATACGGGAGCATCGCGAATGTTTGAACGTAAATCGGGATTTTCCGCAGAATCGAAGGTAAGCCGCACAAGTCGCCGTTGCGCAACGATTGAGAAGATGAAATGCAATATATGAGATGCAACAGTTGGACTATTTAACAGTAAGCGTTAAGGTTTTGCATCAAATCACATCAGTAGTCTATTATCTTATTTTTATTAAAACTTTCACAAAACAATAAGAATATAATACAGAAGATTTTTTTAATAAAAAAATCTTAGTATTGCCTTTTGTTGCGTAAGATATAAGATAAAAGACTAAGTAATTGATAAGCAACTCTCATAATATGCATGTGTTTGTATTCGTGTACGTGTGTAAGTAGCGGGCATGCGGATGTCGGGTGGTGTGTGTGTGTGTGTGTGTGTGTGTGTGTTGTGTGTGTGTGTGTGTGTAAAAAATTTCATTGGAGTCTATTATCTATAAAAGATTCGATTTTTCACGATAGAGACAACTTATATGAGTTCATTTCGAATACTATAAGATAATTTTATTCTAAAATTCGGAAATAACAAGATGAGATCAATTAGTATTTCGCACGTATGTATATAATGTATGAAATATCATTTTCCCTCGAATGTTATTCTATATAATTTCTAAAAAAATGAAACTTGACTACTGGATCCGAATGTTGTGAATACATATTGGAATACTTAACCTCTAAACGTTACTATCTCTACTAAAAGAAAGAAACAAGCGGCCTGAAAGATTGTCGCGAGATAGTCGCGTCCCGTCGTGCCTCTCTCAAGGACCCTTTTCAACTTCCTCGAGTAACAGCCTACGATCTCGTGGCGCACATACAGCACGACAGCGCGATCTCGCGCGGGTTCGCACGTACGCGCTTCGTAAACACGTACGGCGCATAAATTACTCGCCCCTACGCTTTGCATACGTTACATTATATACGCGTAAGTAAGTAAGCAAGCGCGTACACACATTCTCTTCGTGCACGCCGTCGCGCATATAAACGCTCCCATCGATCGTGCGATACGGCATGGGCTCGCTTTCACGGATCGTAACGATCGCCGGCTGTCCGTCCGTCCGTCCGTTCATCCGGTGGTCTCGCGCGGTCGAAATCGAGTTAATCGTATCTACGCAGAAAAAAAAGTCAAGTTAAATCAAAATCTGAATATTTTCACGTACAAGCAAGAATATTATCTTGTTAAAAAGTCTCGATGCAACATTCATTGAATTTCCATCGATGCGAGTGTTATTTTTGTTCAACTCGAGACTAAAATTTTACTAAGAAGATTATAATATTCTTGCTCATCTATGAGAATATTTTTGAGTTTTGATTTGAGATTAATTTTTTCTTTGTGCCTCGCATAGAGGAAATCGAGAAAAGGCGTGACGCACTTTTTTGCGGCGTCGCAGCTCGCGGATCGTGCCATAAATCATGTAAATAACGGAACAACTCGTCGACTCATTTGACTCTTTACTTCGTAACTAACTCATCCGCCCCCGACTATTGTTCGACTTTCTTCACGGTTACGCTCTCGTCCCTTTCCGGCACTCGAATTTTTCACGCGCCGAGAATCCTAACGTTTAACTTTCGCACGGATTTATTAATGTAATACATCGGCGGAGGTCTGAATGCAAGGCGTGGTAGGATCTGGCGTGGTACGAAATGAAAAATCCGATTGTTATCCTGGCCGTGAATTCTGCGTCATCCTTTTATCGTATAGAGAAATCTTCCGGTCTGTGATACGCCTATATAATATGATACGCATACAGATTAAGGATCATCGTAATGTAACAATCATCATTGTATGTATATATCCATAAAACAGGATATGCATATATTTTGTCTTCCGTTAGATTGATTTTTATAGAGCGATATTATGCTATTTTTATGACAGCTGTATCGAATCGTTTAAATCGCTGAGAAAACACTTTTGATTTAAAATTTTTGAAAAGGTATAAAAGATATTTCTCAGAGACTTCTCCAAAACTTGTCGAATTACGATTACGATTATAAATCATAATTCTCGTGTATTTTTTTGATCATTAAAAAAGACCTGTTCGATTTGCGTGACTTAATCCACGTAAAATATGTCTAACATAAATAAGATTATTTTCTATCTTTTAGGAATATAACTTGTGATTTGAGTCAAGGTGAGAATTGTTTTTCATCGATAAACTGCTTATATTTTACTAATACATTACGCATACGAAATATTGTAGAATGAAGAAAAAAATATTTATCAGATAAGAATCTGATTTATTACGAACTAAAAACGCAATTCGATTGTATCGATTTTTTGAATCTAATTTAATCAGATGTTTTAAGCAGTCGTCCTTCGGAAGAAATATTCAACTGTCGATACGAGTATTGCGCGTCAAGCAACGGGCTGCATGTTATCTCCTCTGTAACGTATGTCCTCGTCGAATCCAAGATATATATGTAAATATTGTTTTATTTTCCAGAATAAAACAATAATTACAAATATTTATAAAATACAATAATAATGTAAAATTATTATATTTATAATATAATTGTATATATTTATATCGTGTAACTGTACTTTTGTACTTTTGTATACAATATTTTACGTGTCTTTCTTTCTTTTTTCCCTGTTTCGCTTAAATTTATCCTTTACTTCACCTTGTCTAATACAATCAATTTTTTTACAGTTCGTCACAGCTATTCTTACATGACCGCTGTAAAAATTTCTTTTCTGCACGTTTGTCAGCCACCCCGAACGATGTCTTTGGAGCACGTTCAAATAATATGTTATTGCCAAAAGTCATATTGGCAAATGTCCTCCTTCCTCGATCTGCTAGAAAGTCAGTTGTACAAATATAATAACGCGCGTGCTTTGACCTCGAAGGAATCCCAGGAATTAGCCGCGGCCGGTCTACGTGATCTTACGCATACGCGTGCGTACACGCACTCGCGCCTATTGCTTATGATATATTTACCATCGGCCAGCGGGCATATAGCTCATTGTTAACTATGTAAATTACGTCAAAATGTGGGAAATAATAAACAATTCGCCGATCGCGTAAACACAATTTCTCGAGGACGTCGTGTGCGAATGCGCGGCTAATCGTTTTGCAACAACAACAACAACAACGCGATATTTCACACGTGACGTTTTCGCGTATCCGACCGGCAATTTGCAAGGCCACGTGGTGCGGAACGGCATGATCGTTAGGCGTTGGCCTCGTCGTGGGCTGGCATCGAGAAAATTAAAGCGTCGCCTGAATGAAGGAAGGTGGAAATAGCACTAGCGAGACGCGTACTACAGTCTTTCTTTTTTTTTTCTTATTTTTTTTTATTTTACGACAGCGAGAACGAGATTGAGCATCCGAGGCTCGTGTCATAACTTTGCGAGAGCGAAAATGCAACGGCGGAGTATAAAAGTGTGTTTCCTTGACAGTTTTCGCTGCTGGTAGTTACTTTTAAATGGACTCGATGAAGCTTTATTTGCGACATACGTGGAAGCTTCGAGCTTCCAGTAGCCGTCAGCCTTGACCCATTCTCGTGTCTTCGACCGGTCTTCTCTTCCCCTCCTTCCTCTCTCTCCGTACGACTTAAAAGTCTCGGTCCTTACGCGACGCGGTCTTCTTGCGCGCTGGCTTTATCAGAGATACGCGATATCGCGTACGAAAAATTAATCCATACCGTTTGATTATTTGTTTTTATCGCCGTTGATGATCGCGAACGAATCGATCGTAAAGTCTTGAGGTATATTTTTTTTTATATCCTCGAGTCTAATTTATTTTTTTTTTTTTTTTTTTACGTACTTAAAGTAGTAAGAAAGGTAGTCGTTTTATTTGTTTACTTGTGTTACTTTATATCGCACTTGTAATGACATTCAGTAAACGTTTCGTCATTTCATTCAATGTCCTCCTCGCTAATCCCACTCCTCTCGCGATATCGAATATCGTACGCTGGTGACGGTGAATTCTTAATCGGAGCCGAGTTGCCTTGTTTTCTGATGCCTAAAGTGGTCAGCATTCCTGGCGAGTTTAGAACAGAGATTTGCGTTAATCAACGGGGCCCTGCGTTAGATTAAAAAATCGATAATTTATTACGACAACCGAGAATACTGCGACCTTTCATTATTACAACTATTACTTAGAATAGAATGCCGTTTAAACGAGATCTTGTTTTTTTTTTATTTTTTTTTATTGTACGAACGTATTACGTGCGCACGCGAAATATTTCACAGGAGCTCTTAAATATTCACGAGGGCTTAACGAACGGGGAATGAAGTATATCTTGAATATGTAACAATTACGCTATTTTATGCGCTATTTCGAGGGGTGTGTAGGGGCATATATAAAGTTGACATTAGACCTTTGAGTTTTGTCATTATGTCGGTTTTGTCCCGCGGCTCCTCCTCGTCCGTCGGCTTCTTTATGTTTTGGTAGATCGTGTATCCGATACCGAAGATGTGATTGAACACGAACTGAGCGGTGCACAGCACTATCACCACGAGGATGGGCAGGCAGAGACTGCTCTCGAAGTCGTCGAGAAACAAATTCACCGATTCCGGTAGCAGGTCGGTGGACATTCTCGCGCGTGAAAGTTCTCTCGTTCCCCGGGTTTAACCTTTACACTTGAATTTCGCGATATCGAGAACAACTGTCGGCTGTGCGAGGCTCATTATCGCCCTTTCGTCTTCATCACGTCGCGAGGCTGCTCGATCGTATAATTTTAAATGTTTCCGCTCGAAAACGTAATTGTTTGACGCGTCTTGTCAATTTATCGTAAAGATCTTTCATGTCGCGCGCTCATATGTTTGCGGCTCGCTAATGTGAATTTGGCGGCAAGCTGCCACGCTTATCTACGCGAGCATGCGAGATAGGGGGAATGGAATAAAACGAGAATGTCATTTTACGTATTATTTTTATTTATTTTTGTTACTTATTTATTTTCCAGTCGTCGTACAAAAATCTGAATGAATTAACGTACGTATAAAATATTTATATTTTACACAGGTAACATCACCACGTCGTCGTCCGCGGCGAGATCTAATTCCAATGGCGCTCGCGCATTGTCGAAGAAAGTCCTCTCGTCGAAGGCGTCGCCCTCGATCTGCTGAAAGATCCTCGCTTCTTTCTCCAGCGCGGTCCTCCTCGCCACGTCACTCGGGGTCGACAGAGACGGTAGAGTGATGTCGAACTCCCCCTCGGACAAGCAGTAGTCGTGATATTGGAACGACTGGGAGGATCTAAAGGATGCCGAAGGCGAAGCCGCTATCGCGCTCGCGGCGAAACTCGATCCTGGATTCGTTCCGCGATGGGGCGATGTTGCTCTCGGGCTGCTCACCGCGAACGACGTGCAAACGTAGAATCGCGGATCGCTCGTCGTAGATTGCAGGGTGAAGTCTGGATTAACAGTCGATACATCTCTTCTATTGGCTGCGACCGGCGATACGAGTGCCGTTCGATTTACTATAATCTCGTGCATCGATAGGTCCGCCTTCCGATTCTCGACCTCGGCGATTTCCATCGGCTCGCCCTGCACTTCATTTTTGTTCGCCCCCCATACATCCTTCTCTATCCGTTTCGGTAATTCCGTCGACAATACGTCGTCGTTCGTCGTCTTGACCGTCGAACCGTCAATGTTCGTCGCGACAGCGAGATTTTTGTCCTTATCGCGCTTCTCTCGTTCCTCGTGTTTCTGCGCGATCGGGGATTTTATTGGAATCCGCGCTGTCTTCGTTTGCTTACGTTGCTTGCTCAGATCCAATTGCTTCATGACATTTATTATATTTGCGAAAGTGAAGCGGTTATCCTCCAATAGCGCGCGTAACTGAACGACCGCGTCGTAACAGGATTTCTCCCATGACAGAGAACTCACGATAGATCCAAGGTTATTCTAAAAAGGAAAAGATATTTAAAGATGTTTAATAATGTTTAGGTAATTTACATTTTATGAACTCACGACATTTTATCAACTCACTACCTGCGCGTTTACGGACTGCTGAGACGCATATTCTCTCGCCTTAGCTGTTACGCATTTCGGTAGAGAGGACACTTCCGCTAGTGCGATCCCGTAGTGATCGGTGGATCCTGTTCCCGGATTCAATTTATGAGTATATATCAGATGCAGCTCACTCGGTTCTCCCGGTTCTTCAGTCTTCGTCTCGAAGCAATGACTGAAAAATCGTATTTATTAAAAAACCTTATTTATTAAAAAACACCAAATTTTTGGATATATGTATATTTTTTAATTTAAGTAAAAAATCGATTTTCATTGAAAAATCATAATCATAACGATATTTTATTTCGCCTAAAAAAAATTATATATTTTTAAAATTTATATTTTGTATATATACAGAGTGTTCCATTTTAAATTGTACGCACTGATGACTCGGAAACTATACGTTATCGAGATCAGATAAAAATTTTGGGATTTCAATGAATTCGTTTTTCTTTTTTGCTATAAAGAGACATTTTAAAGTTGATGAAGTTACATAACT